CCATGACCAAAGCAATTCATATAATCCATCACGGTGGGGAGGCGGAGCATCCTCACCATGTTCGCCCTATCTTAGAGAAGATGTGAAAGGGAAGGTTCTCCAACTCATCTGATGAAACTGTAAGTCAGGCAAGGGCAGCAACAGAAAGTAAAATTATGGACCAGTGTTACTAACAGACAGACTTAATTATACCAGAGTTAGTAAATCAAATCGTCAATGTGTTAATAACACAACACAGTGAATTTCAAGGAAACAAGAATATTTTATTATTCACCAAACATAACTCAAACCACATAGGTGAAAGAACACACCAGGAAAGCCTACCATCTGTTCCAAAGTCTAAAAAAGGGACTTTAGTAAACTAAGATGGAAGGTAATTTCCTCAAACGGATAAAGAGGAACAGTCAAAATCTATATCACACATGATACATAATGCTGAAATTATATATATATATATATATATATATATATATATATATATATATATATTTAAAGTTCTGGTCCAAGGCTTCACATGATGATACATTCCTGTGATGCCAGAACTCAGGAGGAGGAGGTTAAGGAGTTTGCATTTAGCCTACCTAGGCGACACAGAAAGAACTTACCTCAAAAAACAAAACCAAAACCAAAACCTGAATATAAATACTATAAGCCTGATTTATAATCGGGCACAAAGAAGCATTAATATATGCATTCAGTGAGGCTCTAAAACCACAGCTCCACAGTGAGGCATGCTAAAGACCAAAGGGATTATGACTCAAAATGAAGAAAGGAGCTGGGCTTGGTGACACATACCTGTAATGCCAGTTCTCTGAAGACCGAGGCAGGAGGGTTACCAAAAGTTTGAGACCAGCCTGAGTTACAAAGGCAGTATCAGGACAGCCAGGGCTGCATTGCTCTGTCTAAAACAAAGGGAAACTAAAGGGTTACTTCTCCTAGACAATGCCGATTTCAACATAGAAAATGTAAGACAACCTATAAGACATTTACAATTTATTAAACGTTTCATATGGCATAGATTGTTGTATTAGGGAATACACAATTCACACACATTTAGAGACTACTACAGCATTCCAGACTTTGGTCAACTTGTAGAGTATGACATGGTGAGCAGAAGAGATAAGGATCCTGCCTTCAAAGTTCACAATCTGGTGGAGGAGATAGGCAGTTAAAATGGTATCACACTGAGATTAGTGTCCCCACAGGGGGACCTGCAGGGCTCCAGGACTCTCTGATCTTGGGAAGACATAGGGAGAGGGTCCAACAGAGCTTCCCAAAGGACTTGGGACACCACTGAGGTTTGAAAGCTAAGAAATGGTCATGCAAAGATCCCAAGGAAGAATATGGCTGAATGAGTGCCACTTGGGGTGTGAGAGGCAGGGTGTGATTTGAGGCAAGGAGAGCTTGAAGGCTTAAGAGGAGCAGAGAGGTGGGAGGCGGGCGGTGAAGGACCTTGAAAGCCTTGGTAAGTAGTTAAGAGTGCTATCCCAAGGACCTGGCAAGCCATCTAAGCAGTTTATACTTTAGAAAAACAGCCGTGTCTGCAATGTAGGGAGTGAATGTGGAGAGCAGGAGCCAGGCTGATGCTAAAGAGACAGATGATGGGAGAGCAGAGAAATCTGTGAAGGGATGAAGATGGCCCACGGTAGGCTGGGAGGAAGCAAGCAGGCGAGATCTTCTCAGACAATAGGGAGGGGCACAGGGCAGGGTGAATGGGACGCGTGAGAGAACAGTGACAGGCATATTGTACATGACACCAAAGACTGCGAGGAAATGCACCCGAATTGTTGAGATTCCCTCTTAGTTGTAAAATCACACTTGCTTTTGTGTCCTTGTCTGTTTTTAAAAGTTTTCTATTGCCGGGCGGTGGTGGCGCACGCCTTTAATCCCAGCACTTGGGAGGCAGAGGCAGGCGGATCTCTGTGAGTTCGAGACCAGCCTGGTCTCCAAAGCGAGTTCCAGGAAAGGTGCAAAACTACACAGAGAGAGAAACCCTGTCTCGAAAAACCAAAAAAAAAAAAAAAAAAAAAAAAAAAAAGTTTTCTATTAAGTAGAGTGCTTTCAGTATCAAGAAATAAATTACTGCTTTATTTCTCCGAACAGTATTCCATAGAGCTCGGCTCTCAGTGACAACAGCTTATTACGGCCCATGCTAACAGAACATTCTCTCGGGGGAAAATGGTTCGCTCTTCACTGGCAGTTTCGGGTGGCAACTCATAATCCCTCCGGACTTGGTGTTTTAGAAGCTTGCAGATCACATGAGAAGACAGGGAGATCTCGGGCTTGGCAGAAGCAGGGACCTTGACTGCTAACACTAAGCAGGCTTGGGAAGCCTCTTAAGCTCCTTGGAAATACCAACTACCACTCTCTCCGTGCCAAGTGGAATAAATAATAAAGCGCTCCGCAAACGCATGCTGACGTCAGCAGTCACGTGGTACTGCCAGCCACGAAATACAGAAAAGCTCCTCCTGGCATGTATGACCCTCGAAGTCTTGCTCAAAATCAACCCTTTCCACGCGTCATTGTTCTTTGAAACACTCCCATCAGGGCTTGGAGCGATGACTCAGTCCTTGAGAGCACTTGATAACTCTTGCAAAAGACCCAAGTTCAGTTCCTGGCACTCAAGTCAGGCTATCCATATAAGGGTCTGTATCCGCAGATCCAGAAAGGTCGACACACCCTCTGGCCTCTGCAGGCACCTGCTCTGTATACACCAGAGACACACATATGTATGCATAATTAAAAATACAATCTTTAAAAAAGCAACCTGCTTAGAAACTCCCTTGAGGTTTAATTTCAAATCTCACCCTGGCTGGATTTGTTAGGGGTCTAGGGCATGAGTGGGGCTTACCTTCTCCTGTGTCCCTGAGGAAGTTTCCAAAGAGGATTAACTGAGAGGGTAAAACTCCCCTGAAATACAGGCACCGCCCCTGAACGCAAAGGGAAGCCCCCCAGAAAGCCAGGAGCACTGACCTCCCTAGTGTTCTGATTACGTGTCCCTCCAGACACGAACAAGCAGCCATCCTTCCCTCACCGAAACGGGAGCCCACTAGATCTTTTCTCCTGTAAGGTGTTTCTCCACTGGTATTTGGTTACAGCAATAAGGAATAGCTGGAATTCTCCTTCAATTGCAATAGCTTCAATCTCCTTGCAATTCTCAGCAAGCCATACCCTTGATTATCGGCAAAGCAAGAGAGAGGGGCGGGGCATATTTCTAAGATGCCTTTAGAAGACGCCTGATAAGCCTGCCCCGTTTTTTTTTTTTTTTTTTTTTTTTGGTTTTTCGGGACAGGGTTTCTCTAGTTTTGGTGCCTGTCCTGGATCTCGCTCTGTAGTCCAGGCTGGCCTCGAACTCACAGAGATCCGCCTGCCTCTGCCTCCCGAGTGCTGGGATTAAGGGCGTGCGCCACCACCGCCCGGCTGAATTTCACCCTCATCCGGGATAACTGTGACCTGTATTGTCTTCACCTTCAGGAACCTCAGGCTTACTGGATCTGATAAAGCTCAATGAATTTCGGGTTCAGCCCCATGGGGCTCAGGTCTTGAACAAATCATCCCATGGGGGCTGTTTTCCATTAATCTGGTGATTTTATATTCTTTTAAAAAAGAAACAAAAATGAGCTTAATTTTGTTTTGTTTTGAGTACTAGGTATTGAATCTAGGGCCACCGCATGTTCAGTGAGCACTCCAACACTTATTTATTTATTTATATCCCAAACTCTCTTAAAAAAAATAAAATTAGGAATTAAGTTGCTCCTCCTGCCTCTGCCTCCCAAGTATCTGGGATTACAAGCCTGTGCTGATAGGCTTGACTAAAATATATTATTTTCGGGCGGTGGTGGCGCACGCCTTTAATCCCAGCACTCGGGAGGTAGAGCCAGGCGGATCTCTGTGAGTTCGAGGCCAGCCTGGGCTACCAAGTGAGTTCCAGGAGAGGCGCAAAGCTACACAGAGAAACCCTGTCTCGAAAAACCAAAAAAAAAAAAACAAAAAAAAAAAAAAAAAAAGATATTTAAAATATATTATTTTCATTCATATGACCAACTTTTCGATGAGGCCTATGTAACACATGTACCCCAATATATTGTGTACCCTAATAAACTTATCTGGGGATCAGAGGACAGAACCAGCCACTGGATTAGACTTAGAGGCCAGACAGTGGTAGCACACACCCTTAATCCTAGCTAGCACTTGGGAGGCAGAGATCCGTCTGGATCTCTGTGAGTTCAAGACCACACTGGAAACAGAGCCAGGCCTGGTGGGACATGCCTTTAATCCCAGCACTTGCGATCTCATGCCTTTGCTACCAAGTATTTGGGAAGCACACTGGCCTTTAATTCCAGCACTAGGAAGGCAGTAAGATGGCAAGGCACAGAAAGGTATACAAGGCGTGAGTAAACAGAAAGTCTCACTCTGGAGGCTGAGGAGTTGGTAAGGTGAGGTTGGCTGTGGCTTGTTTTATTCCCTCTGATCTTTCAGCTTTCACCCTAATATCTGGCTCTGTTTTTTTTTTTTTTTTTTTATTAATAAGGCAGTTTAGCAATTCGTGTTACAGGCCTGTATTGAAAATATACAGAAATACAGGCCTATATTGGAAATTCTCGTTACGTGTGCTTCTCTCCGGATGAGCTGTATAATTCTCTCAAGAATGTGAATATCGAAACTCTAAAGTGCAGCCATTCAGTCAGCATGAGCAATGCCCTAGATCTTCAGCATCTAGAGAATAAATTATCTCAGAAATAACTGCACCCTTTCATCACTTCCTCCTCTTAGCCCATTTTTTTGAAGTTCAAAGTAGATTTTTCAGCCATGGACAGACGAAGCTTCGTGAGGAAAGGAGGGGTTTCAGAACGTAGACAATCAGAGAAACATCTACCCGCCCCCCAGGCTTTATCCCTTCCTGCCACAGGATGACAAACAATTTCAATGACAGTGTCCCCTGGGAAGCAGAGAATAAAAAGGCTAGGCGCACACAAATTGAAAAGCCGTAATACAATTACCTTCTGCTCTTTCAAACACCCAGACTGTGAACAGGGCCTCCGAGCCTGCAGAGGCAGCTTCCTCTCTTGGGATAAGAAAGTGACTGCAGCAATGGCTGACAACAACTTGCTTCAAAGGGCTGGGCTGAGATAAGGCCCAGTGGTGTCGCTAGACTCCAGCAGCCTATCATCAGAAGGTCTGTAACCTGAAGGTGCTGATTGCCTCTCAGAGCAGAAGCTTGAAAGCTGGACTTTGGGGCCAACAGAACGTTTTTCAACCAACCCTTGGATGATAAAAAAAAAAAAAAAAAACACCCGTTGGCTTTATCCTAGCCCAGGGAAGTGGAATTCCATTGTCCGATTTCCCCAGGAATTCCTCCTGTGAGCCTTTGTGGAGCCTGTTCCATGGGGCACCGGATCAAGAACTTGGACCAGGAGAAGTCTACACAGGCCAGTGTGATATGAGAGGAACCCCACCAAGGAATCCAGGCTGATCACAATCTTTCTAGCAGAAGTAAAAACAGTCCCGTGACCCCCCCCCCCCCCGCGCCCCCCGGCCCCCCCCCCCCCCCCCCCCCGAGGTGGTATAGATTTATCTCTGGGCAAAACAATTCCTTCCTTTATCATTGTTTGGACAGCCCTGTGAAAACGAGTCAACGGAAATACGCCAACTGTTGGCATGGCCATATCTGTCTTATACTTTTTTTATATAAGGTCTTACACTCCCATGAAGCCTGGCCTGGCCTTAGGTGATGACCCTCTTATCCCAGCCTCCTCGGCACTGAGATTATAGGCCTGTACCACCACACTCAGATTTCTTTGCATACTTTCTGATGCGTTCCTTGAATGTTTAAGAAATCTATTTTTTTTTTTTTTATACATAGGTGTGGCTTGAAAGTAGCTCTTTTCCTAGAGGAAAAACTTCCAGGGTGGGCTGTAAATGAAAATAATGGACGTGTTATTTTCCAGAGATGAGTCGAGTCTCTGTGTTCGGAGGACTTCATATAGAACTTTCAAGGCCCTCCAAGCTGTGCCTTCCTCTCACCTCTCCTTTTAGAGTTAAAAGGGTGAAGATCCTTGGACACTTGAGTGTAAAGAAATGAAATGAGATTCCTGAGAAATGGATGTCAGCGGGTCTTTAGGAGAGCCTAGGACACAGGACGAACATGTGCCCACCTGTTACATGCTCAATGTCAGCGTGTCTTTAGGTCAGCGTAGGGCACAGGACGGACACATACCCACCTGTCACATGCTCATGCCAGGAGTCCAGGCCACTTGGCTGCAAATTCAAGAGAGCATGTTGCTGGCCTAGAGCCAGAATCAGGAGCTGCAGAAATGTACTTTGGACTGCCTGGAAGGTTCAAGTCGATCCTGAAGCATGCTCATACTCCTGTAGAGTTCACATAATCCCTAGCTGATCTTGACTCACATGTCCATCTGCTCTCTAGTTGGTAAATATAGAAATAGTCCCATTTTCATAATCTAGTTTTTAATGGAAAACTGGGACAAAGTCTACCTTCTCACGCCTCACTTATGGGTAGAATCTGATGGATTGTATTAATTTATGAGCTGAAAAACCATGTGAACTCCTTCGTAGCTCCTTGGATGAGACATTAAGTACAGGGATGACACTTTACATGCATCAGAAGCGTGGTGTGCAGATCCCTTGGTTTGACATCTTTCTATCTCACCATATCATCAAGGGCAGGTCATTTGAAGCCTTCAGCAACAGAAGCAGATCCGTTGCTTACCAGCTCTGGGATGTCTGGTAAGCTATTGGCTTTCTTTGTGTGGATCAGTGTTGGGGATAATGGCACAGAACTCCTCAGGTAACAATACCTGGTGCATAGCCAGGATATAGTAGGTTCTTTTGGTAACCCCAAATTTGACCCAATGATTCTGGAATATGTTACTCCAATGCATTCGTTAAGTGTGAGATAAAAACCATGGGCTGGAGAGATGACTCGGTGGTTAAGATCTCTGACTGCGGGGGGGGGGGGGGGGGGGGGGGGGTTCAAGGCTGTGATGGGGGAACCCACAGAGACAGCTGACCTGAGCTCCTGAGAGCTCATGGATTCTGTATCACCAATTAGCAAGCCCGTATGGGACTGACCTAGGCCCTCTGCTTGTATGTGACAGTTGTGAAGTTTGGCCTGTTAGTGGGGTTCCTAGCAGTGGGATCAGGACCACTTTCCTTGCCACAACCCCATCCATCCATAACTACATATTCTATTTCCCTTTTCTCAGGAGATCCTTCCCTCCCCATTAGTCCCTTACTCTATGCATAACCTCTGTGGTTATATGCATTGTAGCCTGCTTATCAAAGACTTAAGAACTGACATCCACATATAAGCAAATACTTATCATATTTATCTTTTGGGGTGTGGGTTACCTCACTCAAGCTGATTTTTTTCTAGTTTCATCTATTTACCTGTGAATGAGTAGTATTCCCTTGTATAAATAAATGTACCACATTTTCTTTATCCAACTATCCATTGATGGAGATCTAGGCTGTTTCCAATTTCTGGCTATTATGAACAGAGCAGCAATGAACATATTAATGCAAGTGTCTCTGTAGTGGGATGTAGAATCTTTTGGGTATATTCCCCAAAGTGGTATAGGTGGATCTTGAAGTAGATCTATTCCAGGTTCCTGAGGCAATGCCACACTGATTTCCACAGTGGCTGTTCAAGTTTTCACTTCCACCAGCAGTGGAGAAGTGTTCCCCTTACCACACATCCCCACCAGCATGAGCTGTCACTTGTTTTATTTCTGTTAGCCATTCTGACAGGTGGCTAATAATAATATGTTTCCTCTGACTGTATACCATTCCTGCTGGCTCTTCCAGTTGCTGTGGGCAGATCCAAAGTGTTTCATTTATTTCATACTAGACCTCAAGCTACCAGAGTACAGAATTTGGTTGTTCTTGTTACAGATGGTATCTCCTCGACAGTGCATAGTTTCTGGCATGACAGCCTTCAAAAAAATAATGTCTGTATATATTACATTTATTTCTAACCTAAAATCCAATCTCTTGGTTTATCACACCCCACTTAATGAAAAAGTAGTAGGCACCTGTAGAACACAGGGAACATGCATTTTGACATAAAACTATTTTTAGATGGAAACCCATACCCAACACTGCTTGGGTAAACCAAGAACTTGAGACTAGATATCCCCAGAGACCTAGAGTAAAACCAAATACTACTGGTCTTAAAAAAAATAGTGATAGGAATAACTCCTAATGACATTTACTATTCTCGTAGATCAGGGCCTATGTCTATCTATCTAGATCTTTGATCTATCACTACTGTTCTCAGAGATCTGCCTGCCTCTGCCTTCCAAGCAATGGGTTTAAAGGTATGTACCACCACCACCTGGCTTATTATTATCTCTTAGAAACCTGTTCTTTTCTTTTCTAGGTGTGCTGGGTTTTTGTTGTTGTTTGGTTGGGTTGGTTTGGTGTAGTGTGTTTTGTTTTGACATCCCAACCAAACTTCCCCCCCCCTTTTTCTCTTCCCAGTTCCTCACTATCTCCCCTCCTCCCCATCCACTCCTCCTCTGTCTCTCCTCAGTTACAGGTGGGCATCCCATGGATACCAGCCAACCATTGTCTGTCAAGTTGCAGTGAGACTAGAAGCCTGATCTTTTCTAATGAGACTCAGAAAGGAGATGGATCCGAATGACAGGGGAGGTAGGAAGGAACTGGAATGATGTGGCGGGGGGGGGGGGGGGGGCTGTAATCAGAATATATTCTGTGAGAAAAGAATATATTTTCAATAAAAGGGGAAAAATGAGCCAGGGATTTCTTAGACATAACTGAACATAGGAATCTCTGGGATGGAATTGAAATTCAAATTTCCCAAGTCTCCCCCTCTGGAGAGTTAATGATGTGTCCTGTTAAAGGGTCTGGGACTAGAGCATTATCTTTTTGTTATTTTTTTTGCTTGCTTATTTGTTTGGTTTTTGAGGTAGGGACTTAACTATAGTCACATGGACTCAGTCTCCTCATCTGTCTCAGCCCCCCAAGCATTGGAACTACAAATGTGTGCTATAATATCCCTTAAATGGTTAGAAATAAGCATCTTAAATGCATGTGAAGATTCCACTGCAAGACTTTATTGATATAATAGTTTTAACTGAGTTTAAAGTAATTAAAGTGTTTTGGGAATGAGAGGGTGAGAAAGAGGGAGAAGAAGGAGGAGGCAGGAGGGAGGGAGGGAGAGAAGAGATTAAGAAATATCTACAATGTTCATTAACGGAAAGGGGTAAGTGTACTAGCTCCCTGGGGTCAGAGATGTTTTCCTAACACTTAGCACTAAAAATATATTCCTTACATGGAAATGTACAGACATGATGCCTCTGTTATTCCTGGGGCTGCTTTCAAGGCGAGTGCAAAAAAATGGATGTTTGCTGAGTGGGAGGTAGGCACCAGCGGGTCCATCTTTAGGGGTTCATTGACAGGAGCAAGCATGAAGTCACACACATTCATGTCTGTCTGTCTGTCATCTATCTATCTATCTATCTATCTATCTATCTATCTATCTATCTATCTATCTATCTATCTAGACACTGCACTAGATATTGACGAAACAGAGAGACAGGTGGGTCCTGCTTCTTCAAAGTTCATGGTTGAGAACTGTTAAGAAGAGCCAAAGGTGAAGGGCTGAGCAGGCAGTTGCTGGACTACGGGCAGAGTTTAACCCAGTGGATGGGTACGGAGAGTCACCTGACACATGAGCAGGAAATGCCAAAAGATTCCCATTGAAGTGGGAAGCCACACCTTACACTAGGGTGAATGCCTCAGGTGAGTCTTAGCTCACAGAATCAGGGACCTTACCTAGCAGGGGTCACACCAGGCCAAAGGGCCCAAATTAAGTGATGATGATGATGTCACCATCAGGTCCAGTGATGATGCCTGATTTTCTATATGATTTAGGTTCCAGCTTAGAATTTAAGAAAAAAAAATTAAATTTAACCCAAATTACTCTTACAAAACTCCTTATATTACGCATAAAATAAAATATACATAAATATATCAAACATAGACTATGTATGAATAAGTATAACATGTGCAAAACATAATTTTAAGAATTAGTTTGCTGCATCAGTGAAACTATTTCCCTCCCTTTCCTCACCGTTCAAGTACAAATGCTAGCCTCGCTCAAGTCGAATGCATGTATGATGATGAGATGGCAGC